AATCTATTACAAGATACCCATGTTTTTTTTTTTTTTTTTTGGAGAGGTTTTTGCTATAGGGAGCGTGCGCACGCCAGAAAGACAGAGACAGAGAGAGAGAGAGCAAGAAATCACCCCCCCGGGGGGATGGCCACATTGCAATCCCTTCTCCTCCTTTCTCCTCTTGGGATCTTGGACACACACGCATAGGCGCCTGGCATGAATTGAAGTCACCAGGTCCGGGACTCAAACCATGGTTGACTACATGGGAGTCCAGCGACATAGCCATTACGCTAACTGCTGGTCCCACTCTTGGTATTTTTAAGAAACAAGGTTCTACTATTTGGGTAGACATCCATTAGAATAGCTTCAAGTGAAAAGGCTTAAAAATTTTCACTGATGTGTATGTAAAATAGACTTTCTGATAGAGAAGGTGAATCTGATACTCTTATTCTTGTGTAAATCCATATTCTTGAGTGTAGACTGGACCTAGTAAGTTGCTTCTAACCTATGGAATATTGCCGAAGTGATGAGATTAGGTCACAAAAAATCTGTTAAGTCCATCTTTTTGGACCCTACTGCCTGTCTAGCTGGCATGCTTTGATAAATCAAGCCACCACAGTGGAGGTCCACATGGCAAGGAATTAAAGTGGCATCTGGTCAAAAGTCAGTGAGGTACTAATGTCCTCAGTCTAACAGCCCATGAGAAACATCCTGTCAATGACCAATCACATGACTGAGATCAGAAGCAAATCCTTCCCCAGGTGAACCTTGAGATAACTGTAGTCCCAGGCGACACCTTGACTTTATAAAAGACCCTGAAGCAGAGGATCCAGATTTATGGCTCACAGAAACTATAATACAAAAATGTATGATTTTAAACCACTTTTTTTGGGGGTACTTTGGAACAGACCAATAGTTAAGGATCTTCACTTAAATTGATAAATACGTAACTTAAAAACAGTATAAAATTTAAAGCAAGATTTTTTTCCTCTTTAATATAAAGTTCCATTTAAAATTACTTTCATGTAGAGTTATATTTCTGTATGGTAAAAGCAGATTTCACACAGATATGCATGATTATTTCCTGATGTATCCTGACCTGAAGTAAGAGTAATGAAGTAAGAGTGATTGGAACTATTGGCCACCAGATGGCAGCCGTGAGCATCACATACAAAGTCTCTGAAAACAGGCTCTAAGATTTGAGTAGTTTTTGCCTTACAAATTTAAAAAGAAAATGTAATAAATGGTTCTTAATTATTAATAAAGTTACAATATAGAGAAGAGCACTTTTCAAGAAGAAAATAAAATACTAATTTTCCTATACAGAACCACCAGATTGCCCTTGGAAATTTTTCAGTTTGTAAAGTGTACTTCTGAAACAGAGATTTTATTTCTCGTATTCCTACTGACTAGCAAGTGAGGACTGCTGGCACGAAAGATTCTGGATCATCTTGCTGGATCCTGAAAAGGACCTGACTTTCCACCTGCTTAGAAATATTTTGGTATAGGAAGAGAACAGAGATATCTACTTATAGGGTTTTAAAGTCTGCTTATACTTTTCATAGTTGAGGGAAATAAAATTGAGTCGATTCACTTTGTGGTTTACTCATTTATGATTTTCCAAAATTCTTGAAAGAGGATAAAATTGTGTCAGAAAAACAAGGGCTGAAATTACAGAAAGCTACAAAATCATAAACTGTAACAAAGAAAAACATTCTGCATTATTTTATCCAACTGGTGCTTGGTGAGCCTGTCTGTCCACTAAGATGTTTTTGCTCAAGTCCATTCCTGTACAGTTTCACTTAATAGTTAAAGATTTTACTCTTGGGACAAGTGGGTGGCGTGGTGGTTGAGGTGCTGAATTCCCACATGGCCAACCACGATTAGAGTCCCAGACCTGGTGGCTTGCTTTCTCACTTTCCCTCCCCCTCTGGAGAAAATGTAATAAATGGTTCTTAATTATTAATAAAGTTACAATATAGAGAAGAGCACTTTTCAAGAAGAAAATAAAATACTAATTTTCCTATACAGAACCACCAGATTGCCCTTGGAAATTTTTCAGTTTGTAAAGTGTACTTCTGAAACAGAGATTTTATTTCTCGTATTCCTACTGACTAGCAAGTGAGGACTGCTGGCACGAAAGATTCTGGATCATCTTGCTGGATCCTGAAAAGGACCTGACTTTCCACCTGCTTAGAAATATTTTGGTATAGGAAGAGAACAGAGATATCTACTTATAGGGTTTTAAAGTCTGCTTGTACTTTTCATAGTTGAGGGAAATAAAATTGAGTCGATTCACTTTGTGGTTTACTCATTTATGATTTTCCAAAATTCTTGAAAGAGGATAAAATTGTGTCAGAAAAACAAGGGCTGAAATTACAGAAAGCTACAAAATCATAAACTGTAACAAAGAAAAACATTCTGCATTATTTTATCCAACTGGTGCTTGGTGAGCCTGTCTGTCCACTAAGATGTTTTTGCTCAAGTCCATTCCTGTACAGTTTCACTTAATAGTTAAAGATTTTACTCTTGGGACAAGTGGGTGGCGTGGTGGTTGAGGTGCTGAATTCCCACATGGCCAACCACGATTAGAGTCCCAGACCTGGTGGCTTGCTTTCTCACTTTCCCTCCCCCTCTGGAGAACACATGTGCCCTATAGCAAATTTAAAAATGGCAATAATAAAATCAAATAACTCTTTTGAAAAAGAGATTTTACTCTATCACTGTCACTTGATGAAAACCTATTCCCCTGTGTTCTGAGCAGTCTTCTGATGCATGCCCCTCCTCTTCACCACCTTTAGGAGTAAGTCATTTCTCTACTCAGGTGTCTTTGGTTGTGGACATTTGACTGAGGACCAAAGTAAGACACTGTAACCCTCCGGACATACACTGACAAGTTAGGGGTGACCTAGTGATGCAGAAATTAATATACTGAATCTTTTATCTCCTATAAAACAAAAGCATTACCATGATGTGTGGGACCAGCAGATTGTGCAATGGATATGTCACTGGACTCCCACGTAGTTGAATGCAGTTTGAGTCCCAGACCTGGCAGCTTAAAATTCTCGCCAGGGCGAGTGTGTGCGTGCCATTCTCTCCTCTCCGAGAGGAGAATGGAGGAGAAGGAACTGTAGTGTGGCCATTCCATTGGGGGGGTGATTTCTCACTTTCTATCTCTATGTCCCTCCACTGTCTCTCCAGTGAGAAAATGTGCCCTATAGCAAAAATCTCTATCCCCCCCCAAAAATCAAACATGCATAATAAAGGAAAAGAGACATTTGAATTAGAAGTCTAAGGGTAACTGATCAAAAAGTGTACAAATTCGGGACCAGCAGTTGGCGTAATGGCTATGTTGCTGGACTCCCACGTAGTAGACCGTGGTTCACGTCCTGGACCCAGTGAGTTAAAACTCACGCCGGGTGTGTGTGTGTGCGTGCCCAAGATCCCAAGAGGAGAATAGCGGAGAAGGGATTGTGGCGTGGCCATCCCCCCTGGGGAGTGATTTCTTGCTTTCTGTCTCTCTGGCAAGCGCACATGCCCTATAGCAAAAACCTCTCCAAAAAAAAAAAAGTGTAGAAATTCAACATGAGTAACTGTAATAATGGGAATAAAACAGTGCAGAATATTGTGAAAGGAGCCACTGGTGTGTTTTCTGTTCATTAAAAAAATGGGAACATTTCCTCTATTCCTCTCTTCCCTCTCTCTTTTTCTCTATGGTAAGCACAAGTCCTTTTGCAATTAAAAAAAAAAAAAGAATGAAAAACAAAGAAAACAGTATTGAATATATATATATAGGCAGATGAGGACAGGCTTCTCTAAAAATCAGTTTCCCTAAGGAAGGCTAGATTCCTATCAGGGGAAATTTAGAACGCCTGAGAAGTCACTAGATAAGCCTAATTTTCTGCTGGGCCATCTACCTACCTATGGGTTATTGTCGTTTGGAGAGCAGAAGAAGTGCTGTCTTTCAGACAACGTCTGTAATCATTTACTATACTACCCTGCAGCCAAAGGGGCCGTCAAGACCCTCGCACTGTTTGCTCTCTCCCCATACTGACGGCTTCGATATAATCTAATCACCGAAACAACAAGGAGATTATTATCTACCAGAAATCAGCACAGTTTATTAATAAAGATAGACTTTACATATCAAGAAAATCTATCCTGCAATAATAAGAGATTAATACTTATATTTTTAAAGGAAATAAGACTTCTAATGTGAATTATTCCCTCAAAAACACAGGATAATTTAGGTAATATCCTTCAGTGCTTGTAGCTGTCTAGTAACCCTGAGAAACTATTAATATTTTGAGAAGAAGGTATAGAAGCCTTTTTCAAAGACTTAAAGAATGAAAGTTGTCAGTGGTTATAGTATGTAGGAAGTACTCTGGGGGCCAGCAGATACTGCAGTGGTTAAGGAGCTAGACTTCTAAATGGCTGACCACAGTTTGAGTCCTGGACCTGGTGATTTGTTTTCTTTCCTTCCTTCCTTCTCTCTTTCTGGTCAAATTGAAGAACAATAATAAACAAATAAAATTAAAGAAATAATTCTTTTTTTTAAAAAAAAAGTTATTTAACTTTATTTATTTATTTAAATTCGACCAGAAAGGGACAAAGTGAGAGAGAGTGGGGGGGATGGGGGGAGGTGAGAAAGCAAACCACCAGATCCAGGACTCGAACTGTGTTCAGCCATGTGCAAGTCTAGCGCCCTCAACCACTGTGCCACCTGCTGGCCCCAATAAATAATTCTTAAAAACAAAAAACAAACAAACAAAAAAAACAAAGAGAAAGTATTCTGATATTAGCAGGATTTGCATTACATTTAAAAGCTATTTTTGCTTTAGTTTCCAGCTAGTATCATAAGCTAAATTTCCCAGAGTAATTTTCCTATTATCTATTTATCTGTTAAAGTAAATTCCTCCTCTTGAAAAAGCGTGTGGGGAGGGTGGGAACTTGGTGATGGGAAACTTGCAGCTTGGAATGCATTTCACAGGTTGGGAAAGCACCCAGGAGAGCCACCATGCTGTTGTGAAGGCTCGAGTGCCTAATACAGAGACTGAGAAGGGAAGAAGGCATTTAGATAAAACCTTGATAAAAAGTTAATCTTGATGATCAATTAGTAAAATTAATAAATCAACATTATATTTTATTCCCCAAAGAAGTAATCTCACCCACCTTTGCTCATCATCTGGCCTCTTGATCAAATTGAAAAGTATGTGAAGAAGCTGATCTCTCTCCTTAGGCTCAGGATGGAGGCAAGCTGTACACAATATGAGGGGAATCAATTCCTAAAGAAATATGAGGGGGGAAAATTCAAAATAAAAATACGTTGCAGAATATTCTTTTTGCCACCAGAATACTCTCCAGTGAACTAAACTTCAACGTATAAGAGAACAGATTTTAATTTTGTGAAGTTGATAATTGAAAACAATAAAGCATATCTATGTGTTGGTTGTGCATAAAGTACAAATCGCAATGTTATAAAAGTTACTTAAGAGTAAACTAACTTTTTCTTTTTTTTTGAGGTTTTTTGCTATAGGGCGGGTGCTCTCGCCAGACAGACAGAGAGAGACATAGAGACAGAAAGCGAGAAATCACCCTCCAGGGGGGATGACCACACCGCAATCCCTTCTCCATTCTCCTCTCGGGATCTTGGGCACGCACGCACACGTGCCCGGCATGAGTTTTAAGCCACCGGGTCCCGGACGCGAACCACAGTCGACTACGTGGGAGTCCAGCGACATAGCCATTACGCTAACTGCTGGTTCCCTTAAGAGTAAACTAACTTTTTAAAAATTATCTAGTACTTCCTATGAGCTCAGTTCCATCAAGTGACAACCTGATATAAAGATTTTAATTTGAAAGTGCTCTTAGAAAAATACTCACAGAAGTTCACTGTATTTTAAAACTTAGAACGGTAACAGAAACTAAAGACAATGTTTTTCACTGCCATGATGGCAATAGATCTTCCTTAAAATTAGATATAACCTGGAACCAGCAGATGGCATAATGGTTATGTTGCTGGACTCCCACGTAGTACAACACAGTTTGAGTCTTGGACTCTGTGGCTTAATACTCATGCCAGGCGCATGTGTTATATGTGCCCAAAATCCCAAGAGGAGAAAAGAGAAGGGAATGCAGCCTGGATATCCCCTCTGGGGGGTGATTTCTTGCTTTCTGTCTCTCTATCTCTCTCTGTCTAATCACCAGGCCAAGGGTTGGCCCTATACAAAGCTCTTAACACTAAAATATATTCAAAATATATTAATGTTTTTATTTTGCAGTGGATCATCTAATAAGAATAAAAGTCCAAAGTGATAAAATATTTTTTGGAGAGAAATCCTCTCAGTTATAAAACTAGTATTTTATAGGCACATTAAAGAAATAGCTATGATGTAATAAGAAAAACGATTACCACCACTTTATTTTCTCATTTGCCTTGTTAACTACCAAAAACTTCCAATAGCTTTTGTAGGAGAAAATAAACTATCTTTTATAAAATAGTAAATATTCTGTTAGTGCCAAGGACTGTTCTAATCCATAATTGATTCTAAAAAGGCTGCTATAAGCCGGTAATACTAATGAGAAGATTGAGACAACGCATCATCAGGCTATCCTACTAAGAGCAGAAACTTAAGGATGAAAAGCAGTATTTCCCCCCCATTCTCTCCATAGTCTTTTACTCTTTTTTTTGTTTTTAGAGGTTTTTGCTATGGGGCGCGTGTGCTCGCCAGACAGAGAGAGACAGAGAGACAGAATGTGAGAAATCACCCCCCTAGGGGGGATGGCCACGCCGCAATGCCTTCTCCTCCGATTTCCTCTCGAGGTCTTGGGCACGCATGCACACACGCCTGGCGTGAGTTTTAAGCCATTGGGTCTGGGACTCGAATCACGGTCGACTACATGGGAGTCCAGTGACATAGTCATTACGCTAACTGCTGGTACCAACTCTTTAAAGACAGTTATGACAGTAAAGTACTTGCTATAATTGAAAGTACACACACACACACACACACACACACACACACACACTGTTCAAAACACTGAGTATAATCTTTAGTTTTTTTTTTCACCCTCAAAGGCAAGTGTGCCAAAATAACTATGCTGCTGTTTATTCTTTATGCTTTCTTTTCTTGTCCCTTTCTTCCTTCCATCGTAAGACTTAGTGATGCTTAATCAAGGAGGAAGTTTATGTCACACATTCACACACAGAATCTTTCAAATAAAATATAGCTACTGAAAGTACAAAACCGAGAACACTGATCTCAGAGCTAAAATGGTTCTTATCTCAATTTACTCCTTAGATCTCAAGACCAAGGAAAGGCACAAACTTCTCTGACTTTTAGTTTCTTCATGTGAAACCTGTAGGAATTAAGATTATTGCAGAAACTGAAAATATCATAAATATTCTGCAGATTCCTTAGGCACTGAAGCTAATTTTTCCTTCTGAGATCAAAGTTGGTCTCAAAACAGAGAAATAGTTTTATTACTTGTTAATGATAACATGTATAGCATTCACAACTGGACTGGTCTGAGAAGTATTTCATGTTGGGTAAATTCTTTTTACAAGACAAATGATGTATAGTGATCAAATATTTAAACAAATAATAAACAAAACAAGAATAATCTGAAAAAAATGAAAAGCTCTATGATGTGTATAGTAAGGTCTTTGTTGTGACTGATGTGCATGGTAATTGTGCTGGAAAAACAATTGTGACTGATATGCATGGTAATTGTGCTGGAGAAACAATTGCTATACACTGTAAAAGTATAGGTGATTAAATGTAATAAAAAATAATAAAATAAATAATTCTTAAAAAAAAAAACAACACAACAGTTGGCCTTAAAAAACTTTCTCAACACAGCTCTTAACACAGTAGCCATTATCAACCAACTTTTGGTTGATACTCCCGGCCAAGGAGAATTGGGTACACCCTGCCACATCAGCACCTATGGCAGGGGCCCCCCCCTGGGGAG